CCAGAAATTAGCCCCTCCATGTGCATGCATAGAATTTTGTTGGAAGAGGATGCTAAACCGGTGAGACAACCTCAAAAGGAGGGTGAATCCCATCATCCTAGATGTGGTGAAGAAGGAAGTCACCAAGTTGCTTCAAGCTAGGATCATATACCCAATCTTTGATAGCACTTGGGTTAGCCCTGTGCAAGTGGTCCCAAAGAAATCTAGACTTACTGTGGTCAGAAATGAGAAGAATGAAATGATACCTACCAGAGTCCAGAACAGCTGGAGAGTCTGCATAGACTACAGGCAGTTGAACCAGGCAACAAGGAAAGACCACTTCCCACTACCTTTCATCGATCAAATGCTTGAAAGATTGGCAGGTAAGTCCCACTATTGCTTTCTAGATGGTTACTCTGGTTATTTCCAAATATGTATTGCCCCTCAAGACCACGAGAAAACCACATTTACATGTCCCTTTGCACCTTTGCTTATCGAAGAATGCCTTTTGGCCTATGTAATGCTCCTGGCACATTCCAAAGGTGCATGTTGAGTATTTTTTCTGATTTAGTGGAGCATTGCATAGAGGTCTTCATGGACGATTTCACAGTTTATGGCACATCCTTTCATGAATGTTTAGTCAATTTAGAAAAAGTCTTGAAGAGGTGTATTGAAACTAACCTTGTACTTAACTTTGAGAAATGCCATTTCATGGTAGAGCAAGGTGTAATTCTAGGCCACATAATCTCTGAAAAAGGTATTGAGGTTGATCCTGCAAAATTGGATGTTATTTCACAACTTCCTTACCCCTCATGCGTGAGGGAGGTTCGTTCTTTTTTGGGCCATGTAGGGTTTTACAGGAGGTTCATTCAGAATTTCTCCAAGATTGCAAGGAGGACTGCAAGGAGGCTTTCAACTTCCTTAAAGAAGCCTTAACCACCACACCAATTATCCAACCTCCAGATTGGTCAATACCCTTTGAGCTGATGTGTGATGCCTCAAATTATGCAGTGGAAGCTGTCCTTGCACAGCGGGTTGGTAAGGTCCCTCATGTCATTTATTATGCTTCTAAGACCTTAGACATTGCACAATCCAATTACACTACAACTGAAAAGGAATTGTTGGCCATTTGCATTAGATAAATTCAGATCATATCTATTAGGATCAAAAGTTGTGGTATTCACTGATCATTCTGCTTTGAAGTTTTTGCTAAAAAAGACAGATTCTAAACCTAGGCTAATAAGGTGGATGCTTTTACTTCAAGAATTTGACTTAGAGATTAAAGACAGTAGTGGAGCACAAAACTTGGTAGCAGACCATTTAAGCAGAATAGAGAGAGTCCCTGAACTCATTCCCCTCAAGGATGATTTCCCTGATGAACAACTTTTAGAGTTGTGCACATCACATGTACCTTGGTATGCTGATTTGGTTAATTTTTTGGTTGCAGGAGTTTTCCCTACAAATGCATCAAAAATTCAAATGGACAAGATCAAGAGTGATGCCAAGTACTATGTTTGGGATGACCCTTACTTATGGAAGTTCTGTAATGATCAAGTGATCAGAAGATGCGTCCCTGATGAAGAAATCCCATCCATATTGTAGTTTTGCCACAATTCGGTTGTGGGAGGACACCTTGGACCTCAAAGAACAGCAAGAAAGGTGTTGGACTCAGGATTGTATTGGCCCTCCATTTTCAAAGACTCTTGGCGAACATATTCTGTTTGTGAGAGCTGTCAGAAGTCAAGAGGAATGATCACCAAGAGACAGGAAATGCCTCAGCAACCTATCCTATACTGTGACATCTTTGATGTCTGGGGTATTGACTTCATGGGTCCCTTTCCCTCTTCTTTTGGTTTCTTATACATTTTACTTGCTGTTGACTATGTTTCAAAATGGGTAGAAGCTAAAGCTACCAAGACTAATGATGCTAGAGTTGTTGCAGAATTTGTTCGCTCAAACCTATTTTGCAGGTTTGGCATCCCACGTGCCATCATTAGTGACCAAGGGAGTCATTTTTGCAACAAGACAATGGAGGTCCTGTTGAGAAAATATGGAGTTCTGCACAAAGTTTCCACAGCCTACCACCCGCAAACGAATGGCCAAGTAGAACTTTCCAACAGAGAAATAAAGAAAATACTTGAAAGAGTTGTACAGCCCCACAGAAAAGATTGGAGCCGCAGGCTAGATGATGCCTTATGGGCACACAGGACTGCATTCAAAGCACCCTTGGGCATGTCTCCTTACAGAATAATCTTTGGCAAGGCTTGCCATTTACCAGTGGAGATAGAGCACGAGGCATACTGGGCAGTGAAGGCTTGTAATATGCACTATGACTCAGCTGGAGAGCAAAGAAAGCTTCAATTACAAGAGTTGGAAGTGTTACGTCTAGAGGCATATGAAAATTCCAGAATTTATAAGGAGAGAACCAAGAGATACCATGACAAATTGATAGCCAGGAAAGAATTTTGTGTTGGTCAAAAGGTGCTCTTGTTCAACTCCCGCCTCAAATTCATGCCTGGAAAGCTTCGCTCAAGGTGGATTGGTCCATTTATAGTCACACAAGTGTTTCCTAATGGTGCAGTGGAAATCAAGAGTGAATCCACTACCAAATGTTTCACAGTGAATGGATATCGCCTGAAGCATTTTTTAGAGAACTCAGTTCCTGTGGAGGAGATTGAAGAGATGGATGTGTATTCCCCCATCATTCCGTCCAACCAAGACCCTTGCCATGAGTAAATCACTTCGCACGTCAAGCTAATGACGTTAAAGAAGCGCTCTGTGAGAGGCAGCTCACAAGTGAATAAGCAATTTTGTCTTTTCATTATTTCTCCTTTGCATTCTTTCAATTACATTTTTGTCTTCATTTGAGGTGTAATGAGCTAAGCAATTTCTGATATGCTTCAATTTTGTCTAAATAATTCTTTATGGATGCACAATTTTGTAGGAATTCTAGCAGAAGCACCACTTTGGGCACTCATTCTTGCTAGGTGCAATTCATCCTTCATGAAAGTGGCCACTCTCATAGACTATACTGACTACTTTGGCTCAAGGTAAGCAAATCCTTCTCTGTAGTTCCCACTTTTAAGAGTGGGAGTGACCACTTTGGCGCCCAGGAGCTCAATCATTTGCGCGTGGACACTTTGGAGACCAATAGTGGCCACGCGCAATTCTTCTTGCATTGTAGCCTCTCTGGAGTTCCCACTTTCTCACTTGAAAGTGGCCACACGCACTTGTCCCACAAAATAACTCTCTGGAGTTCCCACTTTGAAGCCCAATAGTAGCCACGCGAAATTCACTTGCATTTTGGGGCTTACTGAAGTTGTCACTTTCTTCAATGATAGGCACCACGCGCATATGCTCATGAAGAGGAACTCTCTGGAGTTCCCACTTTTCAGCCCTATAGTCACCACGCGCATATGCCCACACACATAAGCTTACTGTAGTTGTCACTTTCTTGGATAAAAGTAGCCACGCGCAAATTGGAATCAAATTTAGCCTCTTAAGTGTTCCCACTTTTCTTGTTTGGAGTAGGCACGTACACCATTTGCACTATTTCCCTTGGGCCCAACCCATAGTAGGCACTAATTCCCTTCAAAGTGAACACACTCACTATTTCACACACTCCTCCCACTTCACGACGCATTCACACCGCCTGTCGCCCAGCACGCACCATTTTCACGTCACCCACTCACACCCACTCACTCCTAGGGCCAAAATGCACCTTCCCTCACCATTTTGTTATGCTCCCCTCCCTCGTTTTTATGCTCTAGACATGCCAATAATGCTATTAAACTTCTTGTTCATGTGTGTTAATGCCTAAATTTGGTTCGTGCCTATTTCCATTTAGTTTTGACCCCTCCATTGTGCTGTTGTGCTTTTCAATTCCATGCCAATTTACTTTTGCTGCACTTGATTCTCATGCATATTACAAAATTAACCATAATTGTTGCTCTTTCTGGGTGTTGAACATGCTTTTCGTGACTTTAATTTCACTAATTGCTGCATTATGATCCTTGAGCTTCAAAGCCTTAAAAGTCATATTCTACTATCCATTGGATTGCTATGTCACACCATTCTTTATGCTTAATTGCTCTTGTCTATACCATTTGAGCTCTATGTTTGTAGGCTATGATTGAAATTGATTGCCCTCTGGGTCATATGTAGCACTATACACCCTTTTGCACACAAATTACTTAGGATGATATCAAATTATTTTGCAGCCCCTGCACTATTCATTCACATATTCTCTCTTCTCTGCAGATAATGTCGGGCAATCCTAAAGGGAACACACCTAGAACCAAGAGGAGTAGGACAGCTGAAGCCTCTTCATCTCAGCCCCCTCCTACTCATGACCCAAGGTTTAGGTCCCCAGAGCATGAACAATATTTCAAAGAGAACATCCTGCGGTGCCAGATCGTCCAAGAAAGGAATTTTGAAATCCAGCAGGGGACATTTCCACAGTTTCAGGAGGAGATAGACAGACGTGGCTGGGGACTTTTCACTTCTTGTGCAGGCAATGGGTGGAAGGATATCACCCAGGAGTTCTATGCTAATGCCCTGCACCTGGAAGATGACATTTACCCCCCAGGCACACCATGGTTAGGGGTAAGCAAGTTAGTTTCACTCCAGCCACCATCCAGAAGGTTTTAAACATCCCTCCTCTGCAGAAGCAACCTGGCCAATTGGATTTCACTGCATTCTGCAAACAAAAGGAAAAGGATTACCAGCCTATACTTCAAGCAATCTGCATTGAAGGAGAAAATTGGGAATTTGATTGTAAAATGCAGCCCAAGAATCTGACCACTAAACACCTTCTCCCTCCTGCCAAGGTGTGGAGTATCTTTGTTGTCAGCTCATTCATGCCAGTCATCCACACCTTCACCATTGCAGTAAAGAGGGCATAACTCATCTATGCTATTCTCACTGGCATGCCCATCCATGTCGGGGAGGTCATCAGCAGCGCCATTCTGGAAGTCCTTAAAAGGAGTAGAGATTCTTTAGCTTTTCCTTCTCTAATCACTATGTTATGCCAAGATGCAGGTGTTGATTTTGGAGACTACCAGCAGAGAATTAAAGCACTTTCTCCCATTTCCACTGCCTTAGTGAAGGACTTATTTAAGCAAAAGAAGTCTTCAGACCCAGGTCTCAGCTTGCCAGCCGAATACAAGAAGGAGACCCCTGCAACACTCAAGGAGCAGCTGCAGTAAATAGCACAGAGGCAGACTGCCATCCACTCTGGTCAAACCAGCATGCTCCTCCTCATGGAGACCATGATGCTGAACATTGGCAAGAAGATGGGGATGACTTCAGACCAGATATATCAGGCCCACCGTTTCCCTGCCCCTTTCCTCCGAGCTGCTGTTCAGAATGACTTGCCTCCATTCAATCCCAATGCTCCGAGAGATGTCCGCAACTCCAGTTCCTCGGAGGAAGCAGAAGAAGTAGAAGAAGATGAAGGCGCCACCTCATCCACCTCTGATGAAGATGTCATTTAGTCCACTTTTCGTGTTTTCTTTTATTTCTCTGCTTGTACTTATTTTCTTTTATTTTCCCAAGTAATTAGGAACCACTTGTCCTTTTATTGTCTTTCCGTTCCTGCTTTTATGTTACTTTCCTTCAAACAGTTATGTTACCTCCCTTTTCGTTCTTTTTCTGAACTCTTGTTATCATTGTGCAGAGATGCCCTCAGTTCCATCAAGAGGAGCATCATTTTACCCTGAATTTTGAATACATCATCTATAAAAGGAGGGTGAACTCTTTGTCTCTATTTTGCATTTATTTGTAACTTACTTTTCCTGCACCGTACTAGATAAAAGACAAAAATATTTTCCTTATTTCATTTCTTCTCTTTTCATTTTAAACTAGTTCTCTTTTGTATTTTGCTTTTATGCTCTGATTGAATTTCCCATCTAACTCCTACTCATTCTCATTTTTGTACATATTTACTGTCCCTACCATTTTGAACATATTTTCTTGTCGGGTGAATTGTACTCTCATTTTGCAAGTTATTATCACTTTTACCATGGTAGTGAATTGGGCCTTTCTTCCTCTTTCCTATGTGCATATTACATGTATTTTTGGATTCATCTTCTAGAACTTGCCCTGTTTCTTAATTCAATATGCATTGTGCAATTTTCCATCAAGATGATTGAGGCCTTCTTTGCACATACCCCCCACCCTTGCACCTCCTTTCCCTTGTCCCCCATGTCTTGCTTTTGCCAAACTTTGTCAACAAAAATAATTCCTTTTCCTTAATAGAGTTATTTCTTTTGAGTTGCCTCAAGATTGAGTGCAAGAAACTAAGTTTGGGGTGTTGATTATGCTTGTAGTTGCTTGAGGACAAGCAACATCTTAAGTTTGGGGTGGTGGACAGCATACATGTTAATAATACATGTCAAAAAAAAAAAAAAGAGAAGAAGAAAAACAAATGATTGTCAAAGTCCATGATATCACAAAAATATGAATGAATGGATGAAAAAGGAGAAAAGAAAGAAAGAAAAATCTAGCAAGGCATTTGAGTTGAAAAAAGATCTCCACATAAGGCAAATAAAAAAAAAATTAATGTGGTGAAAGAATGCTTTAACCTCTTAAGCTACATCATTTAAGGCATTTCACTCTAGTTGTTGCACTAAATCACTCAAAATAACTCCCTCCTCTTGGGTACCTACTTGATCTTGTCACTCTCCTAGGTTAAATTTGAACCTATCCTAACCCCATTTGTGACCAACAAAGCCCTCATGATAGGTGGTTCGTTGTATCTAGGCAAAGGAGATTGAGAATATGGGCAAGCCTATGGTAGGGTGAGGCTAAATGCATGGATTGAGGGAAAACACTTAGCCTGAAATGTTGTTGAGTGATGAGTGAAACACCACCTTATGAGATGGATAGTTTCTTTGCATTATGTGAGTCACATGAAACCTTGCTTGATTCTTTTGTTTCAATTTAGTGGGACTTTGCATGGAATATTTGACATGAATATGATTCCTCTGTTGAATGAGTATATGGTTGTGAAGATGTTGGAAGTGCTAATTAAAGCATGAAGTTGGAATGAAAATCTCTAAAAAAATTTTGGATAAATCCAACCCTCTTCATTTGATTTGCTCGAATTTTGATTTGCTTGAGGACAAGCAAAAGTTTAAGTTTGGGGTTGTGATGAATCCACTTTTTATTATATTTTTACTTGTCTTTTTGGTGCTCCTTGATAGAAAAAATGGACTTAGATAGTGCAAATAATAGAGAAATCACATTTTGAGTAAATATCATAGGTTTATTAATTTTTGGTTAATTTGCTTTTAATTACATAGATATAAATTGCATTTTTAATTATCTTAATAATTTTACAGAGTCCCCAAGTTAATTTTGAGAAATCTTGGCCCTTGGATGAAAGTTGCCCTCAAAGTAGCCACTTTTAGAAGCAAAAGTGGCAACTACAGCAAGTCTCGGCATTAAAGGCACCAAAGTAGCTACTATCAAGCCCTAAAGTGGCAACTCTAGAAGCTCCAGGACACTGATTTTGAAGCATTCCTGCACATGGCCACTATTGGCTCTCATAGTAGCCACGCGCACCAAAGTAGCCACTTTCAGCACAAATAGTGGCAACTCCAGAGAAGTGGCAGCCCTTTCATGTTACGCGTGGACACTTTCAAGGCCCAAAGTGGACACTTTCAAAGGCAAAAGTGGACACTTTGGTGACATGTCATCCACTATAAATAGATTTTAGGAATTAGGGTACGGGACTTTTGACACTTTACACAATTTTTCTTTGCCAAATTGGGATAATTTCTTACGACATTGGAGTCTTGGGTGACAGCCAAGGGTCCTCTATAGGTTTTAATTTCCAATTTCTCTTTTGATTTTTGTTGAATTTACAGATGTTTGTGTTCTTGCATTTCTTTCTCTTATTTGTGAAGCCCATCCATATGGAGGGCTAAACTTTCTTGTAATTCCTAGTCAATGCACATGAATCTTGAATTCTTGGGATTAATTGCAAAACAAACCTTCCTTTCCTTGAATTTATTAACCTCAATCTCTGAATGAAATGGAATTTGCATGAAGGGAACATTGCTTAATGAACCCTAATTTACCTAACGAAATTCTAAATCAAAATTGCTTAATTTTGATTAATCCTTGAGGTTGCTTAATCTTAGGGATAGAGATTGGAGCTCATTAAGATGCTTAATTTTAATTGGGATGTTAAAGTTAGTCTTCGCTTGTTAGATTAACTTAATTCAAGGGGAAGAAGGGGATTATTGAACATTTAAAAGAATAATGATGGAACTCATTGCTTGACTAGGGATTACTCATTTTAATTGATTGAATTTCATTAAATTTACATTTCGTTCTTGATTAAAATCCAGAAATTGACAAACCTCCCCCCAATTTACTTGCTTTAAAATGCATGTTTACACTTGTTCGATGTATGTTCCCAACCAAAAATTCCTTGGAGACGACCTAGGATAACACCCTAGTACTGCATTCATTTCTTTGCATATTTGATGAGGATTAACGACAATCTTTTGCATGACGAGTAGTAAAATTTGTTTCATCATTGGGGCATCGATTTTATGGGTCCTTTTCCTGTTTCTGCTGGATACTCTTACATATTACTTGCTATTGACTATGTGTCTAGATGGGTGGAGGCAAAAGCCACTAGAACTAATGATTCTAAAGTTGTTTCAGATTTTCTCCGTACTCATATTTTTTGCAGGTTCAGTGTGCCTAAGGCTGTCATCAGTGACCAGGGAAGTCATTTCTGTAACAGGACCATTGCAGCCTTGTTCCAGAAGTTTGGGGTCACACACAGAGTTGCTACACCATATCATCCCCAAACTAATGGGCAAGCTGAGGTATTCAACAGGGAAGTCAAGCACCTGTTGTAGAAATTAGTGCACCCGAATAGGAAAGATTGGAGTAAGTTTCTGGATGATGCTCTCTGGGCTCAGAGGACACCTTATCGGACACCATTAGGCATGTCTCCATTTCGAGTGGTGTTTGGTAAAGCATGCCACCTTCCGATGGAAATTGAGCATCGATCATATTGGGCTGTGAAGAGTTGTAACATAGCACTTGAGCAAGTCGGAATTGAAAGGAAGCTCCAGCTTCAGGAGCTTGATGAAATACGCCTGCAAGCCTATGAGAATTCTAGATTGTATAAAGAGAAAGTTAGGAGATTTCATGATACACATATTCTGAGGAAAGAGTTCTCTGTAGGCCAGAAAGTGTTATTGTTTAACTCTCGATTGAAATTGATTGCAGGTAAGCTTCGGTCTAGATGGGATGGACCTTTTGTGATTACTCATGTTTTTCCCCATGGTGCAGTTGAGATTCAGGATGAAGCTACCAGCAGGACTTTTAAAGTCAATGGTCATCAGCTGAAATTATTCCAGGAGAGTAGACCAGTGGAGTCGGCTCAGAACATAGTTGATCTATCCTTAGTAGAGCCTACTTTGATGGAGGATGTGTCTTCTTAGGCACTTAGAGTTTGGAGCATTGTGTTCTTTGATCTTTGTTTCTTTTCCTTATAGTTTCCTTTACTTTCTCATATATAGTTTTCATTCTATTCTTGGATTGTTTGCATGTTTTGTATTTTATATTTCCTTTTCCCACATTGTGGACAATGTGTGTTTTAAGTGTAGGGGGAGGGAGTAGTCCTTAGCATATTTTTCATTGGATTCCCTTGCTTTTAGAGACTTCATTCTTATGAGCATCTTTTCATTTGCCATTCTTAGTTGGAAGTTTCATAACTTCATAGTTGTGTTTCTTGCATTTTGAGTTTAGCTAGTTTTTCATGATGATTAGGTTGTGGATCATTAATTGGTAAATGCATGCCTTAGTGAGATTTGAACTTATCTTCTTTCTTGTGTGATTCACTCATGTTTGTAGGTATTTTTGAGCTTGAATTGACTCTTTTTGATGTCATCTATTCACATGCACTTTTGATATGATTTAGGCCTTCTTTTGATTTTAGCCACTTGGCCAAATTGACTTACCTTGCATGCATTCGATTGGTTATCCCCTTTGAGCCTTATTGACCTTTTTCTTGATGATTTTGCAGCTCATTACAAGCCATGTAACTTGGAAAACCATGATGTGCCCAACCTTTGGGAATAGATGAGCTTTGGAATTGTTTTGGGAATTGGTTAAAAACAAGTGTGAGGTGTTTTGTACATATTGCTTTGAGCATATTTTGATGCATTGTAGGTTGACTAGAAAAGTGGATTGTATAAAAATAGTGCAGTACTTACAAAGTAAAAAAATAAAAAAAATAAAAAAAAATAAATTAAAAAATAAATAAAAAAAAGAGTAAAAAGTACTATTCTATTTCTAGATTTTGTACATGTGTTCTTGATTGTTGTGATGTGTTGCTGTTTTGCTTTTACTTGTATTTAATCCATTCCCCATTGCTCTTCGTTTCTCTTTGGTTTTTAGCTTTGTTCACTTTCTTTTATCTTACCTTTACCTTAGCCACATTACAAGCTTAATTAAAGTCCTATTGATCTTTGGTGCATGTGTTTTAAATGGTAGAAATTAGAAGCTCTTCAAGCTTATGGAATTACTTACTTTCATGATGTGCTTTGAGTGAAATTTCTTGCCTAGACACTTGAGAGATTAAGTGATACACATCTATGTGAGAATTCTATCAATTGTGATCCATAATTTGATTTGATTGAAACTCTTCTTTACTTTTAATGTTGGAGCATATTCTTGATTGTTTTGATTCTTTCATACTTTGATTGCTGGCTGATTTTTGTTGCTCACATTACTTACACTTTGGGAACCATTGAAAAATTTTGCTTTGTGTTCATTTCTTTTCTTTTCTTTTGCTTGGGATTGCAAAAGCTTAAGTGTGGGGGTATTTGATAGCTCATATTTTGTTTCCACATTTTTAGTGTTATTGCATCCTTTTCATGACTTTTCATTCCCTTATTTCTTTCATTTAATATGTTTTTGCATTTATCTTGATAATTAGGAATTTTCGTAGATACTATACTTTTGTTCATATTTTCTATTCTGACCTTTGGTTACTAATTTGACCATAATATTTTCTGTAGGTATCCTTTTTGGCTGATTCTTTTTGCATTGGATTCCTTACTTCCGGGGCTTTAATTTGAATATCTGGATAGTACTGTTTGGAGTCCGGAGCTATTTTCTACGAATTTTAGAAGTTTAGACTTTTAGTTGACTATTGTATAGTTTTTATTTTGCTTTTGTTTTGCAGTTCGTTTGTATTCAATTTCGGCCCAACTTTGGCCCAATCGGTTTTTGCTCTTTTAGGATTAGTATTTATAGAGATCAGGGGCTGATTGGGAAGGACTTTTGATTCAATTTTTCATTTTTCAGTTTGCAATACCTTTCCCGCTTCTAATAGAATCTCTAATTTTTTTTTTACCATTCTTCTTCTTTTCTTGCATTTTTCCATTCTGAATTCGTATGCCTTTGCAATTACAACTGAAAGACGTTTAAGATTCTACAAAATTAAGATGATTTCTGCTATGTTCTCCCTTCAATTTCATTGTCAAAGTCCAGATCGCATTTGTTTAAGACGTTTTTGATGGTCCGAGTTTGTTTTCTGATCTCACATTTTTACGATTGTATAAAAGCATTGTTCGATTGAATTGTGCATTGTTCTTAATCGTATAACAATCAATTGATTAATTGTTTGTTGTACAGAAGAGATTTAAACAAATTCAATTTTCATTCAATCTTAGTTTTGGATTTTTGTGCTGAGGATTTCGATTTTAGCTTTCGGTTCCAATTCTGTGCAATTTTGTTTTCTGCATTTCAATTCTCTGCGATTTCATTCTTTGCGATTTCATTCTCTGTAATTTCATTTTCTGCATTTTAATTTTGCAATTCAGTTTCTGCACTTAAACCCCAAACATACAACCTTCATGCATAATTGAGATTAGAGCAATGTGTAATTGCATCCATGTGAGATATGACCTAGGTTGCTCCCTAAACTGCATGTTTTTGTGAGGAATTTAGTAGTTTTTGATACCACTGCAACTTGGCTATCACTTCTCCCCTTCTGACACTTTCAGGCGCCTTTCGACCCAAGTTCCAATTTTGGTCTCTTTTAGTCTCCTTTTGCTTACCGACAGAGAAAGACGTGCAAAAGTCATCTCAGGCTACAAAAACTCCTTCAATATAACTCCTACGACTCAAAGGGAGGCTTTCTCGCCACCTTCTCCCCTTCTGGCACTTTCTGGCGCCTTTCGACCCAAGTTCCAGTTTTAGACTCTTTTGGTCCCCTTTTGCTTACCGGCAATGAAAGACGTGCAAAACTTATCTCAGGCCACTAAAACTCCTTGAATATCTCTCCTAGGACTCAAAGGAAGGCTTTCTCACCACCTTCTCCCCCTCTGACACTTTCCGGCACCTTTGGACCCAATTTGTAGTTTTGGTCTCTTTTGGTACCCTTTTGTTTACCGACAAAGGAAGAAGTGTGAAACTCCTCTCAGGCCAGTGAAACTCCTTGAATATCACTCTAGGACTCAAAGGAAGGTTTTCTCTCCACCTTCTCCCCTTCTGGCACTTTCTGGCGCCTTTGGACCCAAGTTCCAGTTTTGGTCTCTCTTGGTCCTGTTTTGCTTACTGGCAAAGCGAGACGTGCAAAACTCGTCTCAGGCCACTAAAACTCCTTGAATATCACTCCTAGGGCTCAAAGGAAGGTTTTGTCACTAACTTCTCCCCTTCTGGCACTTTCTTGCGCCTTTGGACCCAAGTTCCAGTTTTGGTCTCTTTTGGTCCCCTTTTGCTTTCTGGCAAAAAAAGACGTGCGAAACTCTTCTCAGGCCACTAAAATTCCTTCAATATCACTCCTACGACTCAAATGAAGGCTTTCCCACCAACTTCTCCCCTTCTGGCACTTTCTAGTGCCTTTGGACCCGAGTTCCAGTTTTGGTCTCTTTTGGTCCCGTTTTGCTTATTGGCAAAGCGAGACGTGCGGAACTCGTCTCAGGCCACTGAAACTCCTCGAATATCACTCCTAGGACTCAAAGGAAGGCTTTCTCACCAACTTCTCCCCTTCTGGCACTTTCTTGCGCCTTTGGACCCAAGTTCCAGTTTTGGTCTCTTTTGGTCCCTTTTTGCTTACTGGCAAAGCGAGACGTGCAAAACTCGTCTCAGGCCACTAAAACTCCATGAATATCACTCCTAGAACTCGTAGGAAGGCTTTGTCACCAACTTCTCCCCTTCTGGCCCTTTCCGACGGCTTGGGACTGAAGTTCATGTTTTGGTCTCTTTTGGTCCCCTTTTGCCTACCAGCAAAGGAAGACGTGCGAAACTTGTCTCAGGCTACTAAAACTCCTTGAATATCACTCCTAGGACTCAAAGGAAGGCTTTGTCACCAACTTCTCCCCTTCTGGCACTTTTCGGCGGCTTTGGACCAAAGTTCCAGTTTTGGTCTCATTTGGCCCCCTTTTGCTTACCGGCAATGGAAGACGTGCGAAACTCGTCTCAGGCCACTGAAACTACTTGAATATCACTCTTAGGACTCAAAGGAAACCTTTCTCACCACCTTCTTGATGAAATGATATTTTAGCTATTCGTCATGCAAAAGATTGTTGTTAATCCTCATCAAATATGCAAAGAAATGAATGCAGTACTAGGGTGTTATCCTAGGTCGTCTCCAAGGAATTTTTGGTTGGGAACATACATCGAACAAGTGTAAACATGTATTTTAAAGCAAGTAAATTAGGGGGAGGTTTGTCAATTTCTGGATTTTAATTAGGAACGAAATGTAAATTTAATGAAATTCAATCAATTAAAATGAGTAATCCCTAGTCAAGCAATGAGTTCCATCATTATTCTTTCAAATGATTCAATAATCCCCTTTCTTCCCCTTGAATTAAGTTAATCTAACAAGCGAAGACTAACTTTAACATCCCAATTAAAATTAAGCATCTTAATGGGCTCCAATCTCTATCCCTAAGATTAAGCAACCTCAAGGATTAATCAAAATTAAGCAATTTTGATTTACAATTTCGTTAGGTAAATTCGGGTTCATTAAGCAATGTTCCCTTCATGCAAATTTCATTTCATTCAGAGATTGGGGTTAATAAATTCAAGGAAAGAAAGATTTGTATTGCAATTAATCCCAAGAATTCAAGATTCATGTGCATTGACTAGGAATTACAAGAAAGTTTAGCCCTCCATATGGATGGGCTTCACAAATGAGAGAAAGAAATGCAAGAACGTAAACATCATTAATGTAAATTCAACAAAAATCAAAAGAGAAATTGGAAATTAAAACCTATAGAGGACCCTTGGCTGTCACCCAAGACTCCAATGTTGTAAGAAATTATCCCAATTTGGCAAAGGAAAATTGTGTAAAGTGTCAAAAGTCCCGTACCCTAATTCCTAAAATCTATTTATAGTGGATGACATGTCACCAAAGTGTCCACTTTTGCCTTTGAAAGTGTCCACTTTGGGCCTTGAAAGTGTCTACGTGCAGGATGGAAAGAATGCC